ATATATATATATATATATATATATATATATATATAAAATGTAAAGTTAATGGGAGAAAATATATTTTTCTTGTCTTATGTGTAGATGATATTTTGCTTGCAAGTAGTAACTTGTGTTTGCTATATGAGATAGATCAATTTATTTCTCAAAATTTTAATATGAATAATTTGGGAAAAGCCTCTTATTTAATTGATATTGAGATTTATAGAGACAAGTCTTAAATAATTTTAGAACTATCTCAAAAGGCCTATATTGAAAATGAAAAGATTTAGGATGTCAGATTTTGCATCCTCATTAACACTCATTATCAAATGAGATAAATTTAATCAGAATCAATACCTATAAAATGCATTGGAAAAGAACAAATGAGTAATATTCCCTGTGCACTTGTAGTAGATAATTTGATTTATGTATAAGTTTGTACAAGACCTGACTTGACATTTACAATATGAATGTTGAGAAGGTTCCAAAGTAATCTAGGAACAAAGCATTGGAAAGCTTGTAAGAAATTCATTAGGTAACTACTAGAAACCAATGATTACAGGTTGACTTATAGACATATTGACCACCTTAAGGTTCTTGGTTTTTCATACTCAAATTTTGCTAGTTATGTAAACATAAAAAAATCTACTTTAGGTTGTATTTTAGAGAAGTATTAATCAAACTATTATTACTTTATCTATAATGGAAGCATAATTCATTACATGATATAAAGTAACAAGATAAACAATCTGGTTACAGAATTTTATTTTTGGTTTTAAAGTTGTTCATTCCATATCAAGATGAATAAAGATATATTGTGATGATTCAATTGTTGTTTTCTTTTCTAAAAATACTAAGAGTGGAAATCAAAATAAATATATTAACATAAAGTATCACATTATGATAGATAAAGTAAATGACCATGAGGTGCTCATTGAACTAATGATTATGGATCCCATAACTAAAGCATTGTCGGCAAAACAATGTAGAGATCGTATGGGTCTAGCTATCACATTTAATTTTTACTTTATTTTTTTAGTTGATTTTCTAGATATTTTTCTTTATGTTATTTTTAAAAATTAAAGTGATGTTTGATGCACATAAAATATTATTTTCTAGATATGAACCCAATTGATTTATTACAAATTCATTTATAAAGTTTGTTGGCTCATTAAATGCTTATTTTAATAATGCAATATATTGTAATACATGGAAAAAAATATTTGATTATAAAGTTTTATCTTTATCATTTGTATGTTGTATTCTTAATTTAAGTGCGAGTATTTCTACTTACTAGAAATTTTAAACTCTATAAAAATATTGTTATTTTTTAGATGAAGTAGAATGAGCTAAATTGAAGAATATTAGAAAAATATCCTTAAGGTGACCATCTACCATGTGTATTTTTTAAATTAATACTACATATATTTGTTATGTATTTATTTTGGTAAAAATATAATTAAGTGACAATTAAGGCATGAGTCTATTGAACTATGGTAGTGGGCAAACACGTCCATGATGGATAAAAGTGTAAAAATTAGATTATATATAAAGGATCCTAGTGTAGCCAATATATAATTACAAAAGTATTGATTCCTGGACAATTACTTCAATACATGAATTACAATGTGGATAATTTTGCAAATCCCTTGTTGATTATATTTTTTTCATTTGAAAAAATAATTAGTTATTTAATTATTCTATTCTATTTTTTTATATATTTATTCAAATATAGTAAAATTTATTCTCAAAACTAATAAAAGTTTTTAAAACCTAATTTGGCATAATCTATTATTATCATATAGATTAAACAGTAAATTTGTTAATAAAATCAGTGTAAGTATTTTGGTATAAAAAATAAAGTGTTGGACCCAAAAGCCCTAAGAAATGCGTAGGAAAGAAGGTGGTAAGATTCAAAACTAGTTTTACTTTAAGAAGCTGCGAACATTGGAGCTCGAAACTATAATCTTTACCCAAAACAACAGCAAAGAGGATAATTTCTGCAGCCACTCATATGGGCTGCACTTAGCTGTAAAAAATAATGTGGACTGGTACAGGGGCAGTCTCTTGGGCTTTCAATTTCAAAACAACTGCACAAGCTCTTGTATTGTGAAAATTTGGGCATGGATTTCAGCTTCTTTGACAAGCAATGCATTGTCTTTTACTTAAAAAAGGGGGCAGATTATTAGGTAGTTGACCAGCAAGAACGTGGAAAAAATTGATGCAAAGAATATTATTTCAACTTTCTTCCATGAAGTTTCTTTGTTGTTGCTAAAAAGAGTAAAAACAGTTGATTTGCATGAAACATGCAAGCTTTTTACCTCCATGAATTTTCGCTTCCAGTAATTTAGTCAAACGTTCAGACATGGTGTGATCAAGTGGATTATAAACTTTTGCACAGTTGACGTTCTTAAAAGTTGAAAGTTGAATCCAGTTTTAAACATTTTCTTCTTCGAGGAAACAACGGTTGAGAACTTTTTCAAAAGAAAAATGAATCAATGGCATGCTGTGCCTAATCCACCAGATGAATGCTTGTCAATCACAAGATGAACGCCATATGGCAATAAACTTCTAAGCCTTGTCCCCTAAAACAGTACCCTTATATCGTTGTGAAAACTGAAAAGCCTAATCGATCAAGAAATTCAAGGCATTGAAAAGGAAAAGACAGGAGTTTTGAATCTCCTCCTCTCCTTTTTTACAATTGAAAATGCTGCTTTAATTAATGCTTACTTGTATCAATGTAATACGTAACGGAAAGGTTGTCCCCCTTCATTAATTTCAAGGGCAACCACCTCGATGGAAAAACCGTAAACTTCGACAGAATCTGGTGATTTTAGTCACTAGATTTTCAATTTTGTTTAGGATAATTTGTAGTTATATTTATTCACATCTCAAGATGAACAGCTTGAAAACCTACCCCTCCTGCAGAGTAGAGAACTCCAGAATCTACAAGATGAAAGAAAAACCAGCTTCCAGGACAATCGAAGCAGTTTTTGAAGACAATAAACAGGTTTACAAATTGTACCCTTTAAGGGATTTATATTTAACGACTTCTTTATACAAGTTTTGCCTATTAAGTGGCATGGCCTCTAACAATTTTGCGCCATCACAACTCTGGTCTAGGACAATATCCTCCATTTTCAAGACCTCGTTGTCTCCTTTGGTGTGTCTCTTACGGTACTCCTTGTTATTTGATGACGGCTCCAATACATCATCTGCAAATCGCACTCTCTTCTTGTCTTGACATGATCTCCTTGATCCTGTCGGTTTTTTGACAACCCTTTAGTTTTTTGTTTCTCTATTTTATCAGGGGTAAAAAAAAAAACAACAGAACTTGAAAGGAAAAGGAGAAAAAAGATCACCACATACCCGCCAATTCAAACTCCATCTTCTTCATGAAATCAGAGAGGAGACGTTTGTGGACTTGACGTGCAATGAGAACTACACTTCCTGAAACGGCAAAGGCAGCCATGAAACCAAGCCCCATTGAACCTGGCATGTTTCTTGGTTTATATTTCTCTCTTATGACTCTTTCTCAATTGGGCTAAAACTTTTTGGTGGTCTCCAACGCTATAAGGAGGAAAATTTCGTGATTTCCATAGACAAAGACTTGGAAAAAGCCGAAGGTCTGAAAAGAAGAGTGGGAGACGCGATGATAAACATCGGCAGCCGGGAACGGAAGGATGGTTAGTAGTTGGTGTTATTTATGTGAAAGAGAAGAACGAGTCTGGAATTGGACGGTCAAGGAAAATGACCTTTGCCTGAACTATTAAAATAGCACAAGATTGGTGGAGGTTCCCAGAAATTTAATTTAATTTTTATTTTTTTACGTTAAAAATAAATTTTAAAAACTAAAAAAAATATTTTAATATATTTTTAATTAAAAAACCATTCTAATCACACTATCAAGCACTCTTGTGCCGAAATTAAACCATTAGATAAATATAATAATAGGTAATTTCGTGAGCATTGCCCATTTATTCAGCGGGGGGGGATTGGACACCTTCATTTGTGTGGTGTTTCTCCTTGACAACAATAGTGACAAGACATGTCCTTTTCTTTTATTAGAGTTTGACAGGTAATGTTCAAGATTTTTACTACATATTTTATTTTATTTTTAATGGGAGAGGATGGCCTTAAATTTAACACAAATTCCCACAATGTTATTTCTTTAATTATTATTTTTTTCTAATATAAAAAAGAACTAGAATCGTTGACCTCTAGTGTGTAAATATGGTTGGATAATGATTAATCAACCACCTTAAACAACCATAATTTGCAGGCTCACTGCCTTAAAAGTCCAAACCCTCTTCGAATTTGATATCATATGGAGAATCTATTCCCTCTAGGGTTTCCAGCTTAGGTTTCATGGCTAAGAATGTGAATGGCACGACATGGAAATTAAAAAGGTGTCTAAAAATGTAGTAATTGTTAATTTTTGAAGTATTTTTTATTGGAAAATGTATTAAAATAATTTTTTTATTTTTTAAATTAGTATATTAAAATAATCTTAAAATATCAAAAAATATTAATTTAAAGTAAAATAAATAAATAAATTTAATTTTTTTAAATTTCTTTGAAACATAAAGATAAATAGATAAAATATTGAAGTAGTTGGTTCTGAAAATGAATATTCATTTTATACAAGACCGAAAACGCCAACTGATAAATAGCATTAAAAATCTGATAGCCCAAGACATGCACACGTCACCGCTCCAGCTTCTAGAAGAGGCCGTTTCAACTACCACCATACCCACTCTCTATTCTCAATCATGTTATTGTATAATATTTAATTTTATTTTATAGTATTTAATTCCCCTATATATACTTATTCATCTCAAACGTCAATACAGTATTTAATCATAATCATAATTGACCCTTCAAGTATAAAATAAAATAAAATATCAAGTAGGCACATATTCCTTAATAACTGCTTCTTTTTTTTGGAATTAGGGTTGTATTTTATTTTCTTGATCTCGTTTTTTTCAATTTTATAAACTCTTAAAAATAAATATTGATATATCATTTTTGCCTATTCTAGCTCTAAACAAACATGTGACTTTCATTATATGTTTAATATAATAAAAATTAAATAATATTACTACACTATTGTTTTCGTCCAAATCATAATCGAATCTTTCTATATTAAACTTTAATTATAATTTTAAGACAATCATGCAAAGAAAACAAATATATTTGATATTCAATTTGTGCTGATTTTTGGATTCCATATTTGTAGAATAAGTGTTTGAAACGGTGATAAATTTTTATGAATTTTAAATATGATTGAAGGATTTTTTTTATTTAAAATTAATTTTTTAATATTTCTATATCATTTTCGTATACTAATGTTAAAAATAGATCTTATAAAAAAAATCTTATTTTAATATATTTTTAAATAAAAATTACTTTAAAATATAACATTTATCATATTTGAGACAAACAAACAAATTCAAAAAATAAATCACAATTTTTCTTTAACTATTTCTTTTAACATAATCTAATGACATTAATCAAATCCTTTAAACGAAAAGGATATTCCTAAAATATTTATTTATTCCTAAAAAATCCTAAAGCTTATTTAAATTCTAAATATGATTTTTCTTATTCAATAAATATCTGAATTTGTTCTTTTATACCATCCAAATAAGAGTTGTCACTTTGCTTCACAGTCTCAAGTGGATTTTACATAAAAAATTCAAATCAATAAAAAGGACTCTTTATGCCTTACTAGGAACGATAATGATCGATTCTTCTTTAACCCACCTCATCAGTGCATATTTCAGACATAATTTTGGTTTTAAAAAAATTATGTTTCTTAAAAATTTAAATTTAAATTTATTTAAAATTATATATATATATATATATATATATATATATATTTTATATTAAAAATTCTTTTAGAACCAGCTTCCAGGATAATCGAAGCAGTTTTTGAAGACCTTTGAGAAAAAGAAACATGGAAGTGGTCAATAGAACTTCCTCTTCTTCTTCTTTTTCAATTGGATAACGCAAATGCACTCCCAGTCGCCAACAGCGACTTGAACATAAGATAAGCACCTAAGACATCTTGATAATGAAATTTTTTTTTTAATTTGAATTTGTTTTTAAAAGGTATATTTTATAGATGTAAATAAATAAAATTCTGATTATCTTAATTTTTTATAAAAAATATATATCCTAACTTAAATTCAAGATTGTTATCCAGATTTCAAACCATTTTTCATAATGCTATATTCTTTAAAGATTTTTTTATTTAAAAAAACTTTACTTAAAAAAGTATTTTGTGGATTCATGTAAACAAATAAAATTCCGAATCATCCTAAATTTTTACAAAAATATATATATTCTAACTTAAATTCAAAACTTGTTATATAAATCTTAAAACTTTTACTGTTACACTGTCCTCCTCTAGGAACCTTGATCAGGAAATGTTTCTCCTTAAACTGGTATTATATCACAGAGTACACGAGAAAGAGAGGAACACTACCCCGTACACAATCCTCATAGCCATCTTCACCAAACTATAGAATGGATCTTGAATTCCAAAGAGAGGGGGGTAGAGGTTGGTTTTGGATCTGGACCTGGAATTTGATTCCTTTAAAGCAATAAGCTTTAGCTTTGAATTTGGAATTTGCAAATCGAAAGTGGATAAGGCCATGTTTTTTTTCATTACGAAATCTTTTCCAACGCGAGGCCAAGAGACAGGGAAGGTGTTTGACTTCCACGTGGGGAATGGGGATAGGAATGTTACGTGGGAAGTTTCGTTTGGAAGCACCTGTATGACTGTTTATTATTTTTATTTTATTTTAAATAAATAAATGCCTCTGCTCTCCTCCTCAGGCAAAAACGTAAGAACATGGAAAGGGATTTTCGTGATGTAATGAATTTTTTTCAACGTCTCCATATCGGATTGGGTTAGGGTTTGGTTCTTTCCGGAACCTTCAAGTGTTGACCGCACAAGTCAATAATTTTTATAATATTTATTAAACATTAAAGTACATGTTTGATTCTAATACCCTTATCTTGTTATTGAGGGGGAGCAAGCTATTAATCTCCAACACACCCACCCAGTGATTAATAATACTAGAAATAAAACGTTTGATGGTAGTAAAACACGACTAGGGATATTGATCATGCTAAAATGGTATATCCATTAATCATGTAATAATAAATCACCATAAAGTTGATGTTCATACAGCAATGATCAAAATTCAAATCTGAAAAGTCATCGTTTGATTGGTTTTATTATGATCGAAGACAGTTATGAGCGCCTCAGAGCTTCAAGCTTTAATCAAAATCTAGAACAGCCAGGTTGATTGATCTTTAGCTCCTGATCCTTCCAGCCATGTTTCATGCACATGCATATAAGTTGCCCTGGAAACACCGCCCTTCTAAACCACACACAAAAACAAAAAAATGAAATCATGCGATGAAGAAAGTCTTGTTTTAGCGGAAACTCATTGATTGATCTCAAGGCTTACCTTCATGTTTATTATACATGTGATCACACAACCTTGCTGCTCATCGCCTGCAGGAATTGACAAGTAAATATGTTGGAAGAAATGAGAAGGTGGGACGCAGAACTCCATTCGTGATCATGGGATCCCTCATATCGAAGCTTTTACTAATCAGGGCATAAACTAATCTATGTTTATATTTTATTCTTCAAATAAAAGCATAACCACAAGAAATTAATCGTTTGCAAAACTGATTGCCAGTGCACATTTGCCAACACCAACTCCAAAAACTGTCAGTCCATTGAAAGGGTTGCGTCAGATACTTCACCGTGTGTTAATATGGATTCCACAAGTATATTTCATGGGGAATGCTAGTGGCAGTCACTTTGACAGCAACTAGAGACCCCCCCACCCAAAATATATATATATCAGAAGCTACGAGCCAATAATCAATAAATTTGTTTTTGGCAACTAGCTTAACCATTTTTATTTTCTCTTTTCTTCTGACTTCTGAGACATAAATGTTGGCTATTAAATTGACAATCCCCCAAATCTAATAATAAGATGCATCAAGCTTCACAAGTGACAACCACTTACAAATTGAAACTACATAAAAAGAAATTAAAAAAGCTTGCAAATTAAGATGCACCAGATACTCAAGCTTAAACAATGACACCGAGCATCCAAAAAAGAACAGCGTTTAAGCAATTTGTTATGCATAGCAAACTTAAGATCATATTGTGATGTTGATGTTGAGCTCAAAACTGAAATCACAATGAAGATTGACCATTCAAATAGATCCAGCAAAGAGTCTCCACATGAGTAATAAGAAAGCAAGAACTACAACTTAACTTTTCTGATTTTAAAGCTGGAGAAGTAAAGGATGCTTATTATATAGTGGGCTAAATATTTGGATGAAGGCCAGGTTGCTAGCAAACTGAAAGGGGAAAGAAAATAAAAAAGTGAGGGATAGGGGATGGCTAGTTGAAACAGACAGAGTGTTGGTCCTTTTCAATTTTCTTATTTTACTTTCTGGAACTCAAGTACCAACTTTATTGTTTTAGAGTAAGAAGGTGATGGTTGTTTAACTGGTGGTGCCAAATATATTTTTCTGTTCTTTTGCAACGTGGACTCTTACATTGAGCAAGGGTTCCTTGCATCTGTCACAACTACTGCAGCTAGTATTCCCCATGTTTCAAAAATCAAGCTAGTCTACGTGTACGAGATTATCCATTACTGTGGAGGTTCTAGCAACCACACCTTTATCCTGTCCAAGTATTGGACAGGCTATTTCAAGGAGAAATTGAAAGATCTGGGAGATAAAGCTCTACAAATAGAAAAACAAATGAGGAAATTGTTGAGCCGTGTAATCATAGAAAGGAAAGAGCGAAACAATATGTAGATATGCATAGTGAACCAGAAATAGCTGAAATTTCTCAAATGCTATTATTGTCCGTAGCAGATATGATTATTGCTGTGGGCATGGTTTCTTTTCTACCAGATGGAATGTTCACTCTGGTCACAGATTTTGGCAAAACATAAAGCATCCATAGGATTCTAACTACCTAGTTAGAATAAAGCATATCAGTAGCTTTAGATGTGTTTGTCACCTAAGAAGAGGTCAAGTTCTAAAGGCTCATCCTGTTTAAAGCATCCATGTGAAGGCATGTGCTGGTCTAACCACAAAAAAAAGAAAAAAGAAACCAGTTGCAAAGAGATCCCTGATCAGTTCAAGGTCATTCAGTAAACCAATTACAGCAGAAGTATGGGTTGAAACTTAAAAACCATGTAATGGGACAGAGCAGAAGAAATTTAAATAGATGAGGTCAAAGAAAAGGGGAAAGTGTACTGCTGTCTCACTGGCATAGAAATATGTCATAAAATGCACGAGAGAGAGAGTGAGAGAAAGAGGACATCTTATCATCAGTTTTATTTTTAATGCAATCATTAACACTAGGAAGTCAGTCTTACCAGATAATTCCCACTTGTTGAACTTTACTAGCCATGTATCCAGGCCAGTCTGTGTAGATAATACCCGATCCACCCATACCCGAAATTGTTGGCCCTGTTTGTCACCATAGTAGTTCCTCATTCCAGTTATAGCACCACAAAGAGGAAGTTCAGCACCAGATGGATGGACAAGAATACCGGATGCATCCTGCCAAGAAAAGGAAAACTTATATCATGCTAACAGAAGACAAGGAATCTGGAAAAGCAAAATACATGTATATAAAAAACTGGTTGGTGCATTCATGGACGCAAGCAAATAAGATGATGGTGGATATATTAGACTTTATCAGATCTAAATGACTGATGAATTGTTTCAGCTCTGCTCTTTGTGAAAAATTCACCTCTTAAGAGACAACATTCAGGTGACCCAACTAATATGGATACTAATTTATCACATATGCTGTATAGCTCTTTATATTTTTACATAATCCACTCCAGGGCATTGACTCCAGAGGTAAGTGAGTGGATTGGTACTGTCAATGTGAACCTCTGTTCCAGTTTTTAACCAATTCAAATTCAACCCTTCAGATTGTGCAGCAGAACAGATTAAAAACTGTATCAGCCACAAGCTTACTTTTCTGTTCATCAACCACAAGGCTATTGGCCGAGAAAAGGTATAAAAAAAATACATAATCAATCACAATGAGACAGACCTTCCATTTATAACAGATTAACAGTCTTAGCAACGTATCTACCCAACTGAAAAAAGCAAGAGAACCAAACAAAAAAAAGTCACCTGGACAATTTAATGCTTAGCTGGAACTTTATCATCCTAAAAGAAAGAATGTGAAATGCGGAAGAATATAGTTCATTGTCTATACCAATGAAAAAGGGTAGAAATGGTTGTTTCTTGCTTCTATAAACACTCCACAAGGAAAAGGAAAGAAAATAAGATCAGGAAGTCCTCTAGAGAAACATGTAGAATCGAAAGAAAAAGAGGATAGTAAACATACACAATCAGCTTTCATGCTTGCCAAATATATCTCACAGTTCTCAACCTCTGCACGCCTCCATCTTTCATAGAACAAGAAAAACTTCACCATTTCACTACTGGCACTGACATTTTCCAACTCAGAGTCTGAAAAGTTGGTTATATCTCTTGGAGAAGTATTGGGACCAAGGTTAAAATGGCCAATGGCTTGTATGATGCCAGCTGCACACCTCTCAGTCGCATGAATTATTTTAGGATTGCCTTTAGCATTTTCAGCATGCCACTGCAACAACTCTTCTTGTGCATTGCTAACCTAGACAGATAAATAATGAATAAATAGTTAACAAATAAACGACTTATGAAGGCAATCTCAATTTCCCTATGAAGTGCTATGGCGGACTGTAAATACCCACCATCACTCCATGTACATCTGGAATGCTGAACAGCTCAGCATCATTTCCAGAATCACCACAAACAAGAGTATTGGTAGGTAGTTTTCCCTCAGCCTTAAATTTCTCATGTAAGTATGCAAGAGCTTGCCCTTTGCCAGCACGTTGGGGTAGTATATCCAAGTCCATTCCACCACTATAAACAATTTTGACATCCAACTATAAAAGAAGAAGAAGAAGAAGAGAAGAGATTGGAAAATTAAGTTAGATAAGGTAGCACCTGCTGAACTGTACTAAAAAGAACATAAAATTAGGGGGAAGGAAAAGGATACGAAACCACCATAATGATGTTTCAAAAAAGCATTGCATGTACTAAGGCAAAGACAAATGATATTCAAGTGCAACTCATTCCTGAACAAACTTGAAACTCACCCCGCGTTTTGCAAATATCTCTGAGAGGGCCTTTATCACGTCCTGAGCCTTGTCTTTATCAACATAAAAGCTGACCTTGTGAGGCCGTTGCTCAGTTTCTGACTGCATTACCCCATAGATTTCATTTATTCAGAGATTTCAAGTAGCCAAACTGTTTTCTTCAATGTACCAAACTATATGCTCATTTTGAAAGCAACACACAATCATAGAATCAAATGGCATAAGTTTTTAACCATACCTGAAGAGTAAGTTCTGAAAACTTGCTGGTTTCCTCGGTGACTGTGTTCCTATCCCATTTCTGATTCAAAACTTCCACCCAACCATCATCAGGCACCATAGAGGTGCCATACGTGATCTCAGTTCCTACAGACATTATGGTTATATCGGGTGTTAACATGGGTTTCTCTTTTCTCAACTGCTTGTAAAGCGTAGGTGATCTTCCAGTTGAGAAAACTAGCAGAGAATCATGACGATAACAGGCCTCCCATAATGCATTGAACCTAAGAAGAGACATGTTCTCCGGATCATGATGATCGACCTGCAACAAGAGCATATTCTAATTACTGCAGCCACAAGAATATAAATGAAACAAGCAGAAACCAAACAATTATGAGACGAGACGCACCATTGTATGATCAAGATCAGAAACTATCATGAGGCGAGCAGGAGCATTGAGCCTATTCATCATTTCTTATTCGAAACCTCAACCCTATACAAAAAATAAATCAATTTTAACTACAGCAACAACCATCAATAACAATTCTTCACTGTCAACTCAAGCCTTAAGTATTATATCCAAGAAAAAATCTTAACTTGGTACTATGCAAAGGTAATGATCTTCTAAGAGAATCACTAATGTTTTTATTGAAGGTACTGTAAGAATACTAAAATTTCGTAATTTCGGCTACCCATGAGATTTGCACGAGTACTAGCATAGCAACTAGTTAAAGTTTGTTTCTTAGGAAATGATTTTAAGGATAGAATGGATACATAATATTGAAAATGAAAAATTAAAAGAGAGAGAAAAAGACAGAGAGTCACTGTAAACGAACTGATAAATCTCCCCCCCCCCCAAAAAAAAAAAAAAAAAAACTTATTAAAAAGCATAAGACCGCGAATGAATAAAATAGCAGAAATTAGGATCAAAGAAATACTAATCAATAACAGGAACAGCAAGCATTTCCATTACCAAAGGTCCCTAATATGACTGAAAGAAATAAAATTCTATTTCTGATATAAAAAAACCCACATCAGTAGAAACTGAAAATAAAAGTCCCATCTTCCATAACCTCAACTCCTTTTTTTCCCTTCAGCGCACTTTCTAAGCAACCTATCCAAACTAAATATACAAAAAATGGAAGAGCAAAGAGAACCCAGAAAAAAGAATCTGAAAAATCTAAAAGAAACATAAGCAAATAAATGAAAAGACAAGAGCTTTAGAATATGATCATTACTAGTACTAACACAAAATTGCAGTGATTGTTATTATGGAACTGAATCAAACAAACCTGAATGAAATGGCAGGAAAAGATTATAAAATAGTACCCTTTTCTTAATATTTTGTGCAGCTGCTGCTGCTGTGATGTGATGATCTCGTATTGGATCCAAATTCGTTGGCGCTTCGTTTGTGAAGTGAAAGATTAATAATCCAACACAAGCGGAGAAAGAAAGAGAATGAAACTAACTACACCAAAAAATTTCATTAAAACTGTTTTTGGACACTTGTGCAAACAAGAGAAGGCCACATGGAGTAGTGGGGGCCAGTGATCCAATGGGAAACTGGTGATCCTGTACGTGTGGTCGAATAATATATGAGAAAAAAATTAGGAAGAAGGAAATCACAAAGTGATGGTTTATAATGGTTGTTTTTTAAAAATATATTAAATTTTTATTTTTATTTTTATTTTTAATTTCAATATTAATACATCAGAATAATTAAAAAAATTCAATTTTTTTCAAAATTTTAATTTAAAAAATTCAAAATTTTACAAAATCACTTTACCCCCACAAAAATAAATCGCAGTTATAAAAAATTAAATTTATCATATATTTTGTACGCAAATTTATTTTTTCTTTTTTTAAGTATTTTAATTTTTTATTTTTGTTATTTGAGTGTGTGAATTTTTTTTTTATTTTTTAACTAAGTATTTTTATTAGGTTCCATCAAACACATGCTGACATGTTCTTTAAATTTCAATGTTATTTTGTTGACGTGTAAAACCAAGTGTATATCAAATTTTCATTTTATTTCTGATTAATTTCTTTCGTTTTTTTATATAGTACATAGACTTTTATATTTTTTATATTTGAGTGTTTATATTTTCAGGAATTTATCATTTGATTGCTTTAAATTTTAAAAGCTAATAAATATCCACTCTCATTTTTATGTAGGTCAAGTTTGTCCTTGTTAAATAAACTTAAAAAATTAAAAAAATAGATAGATAATATTTTATTCAAAAAATAAATAAGAATAAAAGATGACTTACAAATAAAAAAAAAATCATAGCAACTTAGTTTCCTTTACTTTCATATAATTAACCCAAATAGTTCTTGACAATTAATTTTTAAAATGCAATATAGTTAATATAAAAATTGATTATTTTTTTACTTCTTTTTTTATCTTTATTTTCTTACCTAGTCAATTATGATCCACATAATTTTTTTGAGGCCTTTTATTCTTCTTCTTTTTTGTGTGTGTGTTTTATTTTCTTACCTATTTATTACTATTTTGTTGTTTTAATTTCAAATTTTATTTAATTTTAGTCAAATATAGTTTACATTAGATTGCAAGGTAAACATTTACTAGCTTTTAAAAGTAGAGGGACTAAATTGAAAAAGTTTTAAAATTGTAGACCTCAAATAGTAAAAAAAGAATTCATGCATTAAATTAGAAATAAAAAAATAAAGATAATTTATTAGAAATAAAGTGAGGATGTTCACATACTTGCTACACATCAATAGGCAAATATATCAATTTAATGACTACATCGGCATGCATTTGGTAAAATCTTCCATAAATATTTTATTAAAAAAATTGAAATCTCTCATGCTCAAATATCAAAAATACAAAATAGAGGCTCAAATAAAAAATAAAGGAAAAATTATATAAAAACCCTTATCTTTTAGCCTAGTTGCACTTTGCAACTATAGTTTTGGAAATTAAATTTTAAATCCCTCTGTTTATGTGGTTATTTTACTTTTTATATATCAGGTTAAGAATTTGCTAGCTTAGTCAACAAAAAAAGTTTGAAATATTACAGGATTGCCATTATAATTGTTTTAAAATACCAAGAACCCTTATAACTTCTGCATCTTCTTCTTTCTCGTACCACCATTTTTGCTTATTCTTTTTCCCTAATCTTGCTCCTTTTTTTAACATTTAGATCTTTTTTTGTAGTTTCAAATCCATGATGATAAACTAAACAAATTAAAATAAATTTTGAATACAATCTTTTTTGTTTCCATCCCACAATACAAAAATATCATAATTCAATTTTGGATTCCTTAAAATTGTTTTATAAAAAATACACATTTAAAAATCCCAAAAACATCAAAAATTAAAAATCTTAAAATATTTTCAAGACATGAGAAGAAAAGTTTTTGAGCCACAAAAAACCAAGATACTAGAAAAATAGCCGAATGAAGAGATTTTGACAAGATAGGATGAAGGAAGAAACAAAATTAAGGCAACATGACCAAAACTAGAAGAATTAATGAAGTTTAAGGATTTAATTAAACTTTTAACAAGTTTAATTGACTTATTTAAGGACTTAATTGAAGCAAGAATCAAGTTTGAAAGTCAATTGTAAAAATTAATTAAGTTTAAGGACTTAATTAAATTTCAAGGACTCAATTGAAAAAAATTCAAGTTTGGAGACCTAATTCAAATCAATTTACAAAGATTAAAAGATTAGGGACATAAATGAAACTTTAAAAAAATCTAAAATATAAAGTTCAACTGAGGACCACTTTGAAGAAACCCAAAATTAAAAACCATTTTGCAAAAAGCACTGGAATTTAAAGTTCTAATTGAAGAAGGTTAAGGATAAAATTGCAAGGATTTTTAAAGACTAGGTCCAATTAAGGACTCAATTGAAAAGTTTCATAAGTTTAGGGATAAAATCGAAAATAGATCATTTAGATGACAAATCATTTAATTTCTAAGACTAGACCCCGAATGACATGTTCAACTCCAATTGCTCTTTCACCTTTTTATCACACCACACAAATCTTCTGTAAACTTACACCTCATTACATGCAATTCACTCTAAGTTAAAACCCCATTAATGTTGTGCCGGCAAAGAGTTTCATATTCTGCCTGCAATGACAGTCTTATCTCCTATTTTTCAGTTGCAGAGCAGGGCAAACTTTTGTTCTTAGCTTCAACAAATAGTTAGGATTTATTCTTTAATATCAAGGATTGAGATCCTATCAGTTCATAAGTCTTAGAACCTTTTCATTTCTCCTATAAACATCCCGCAAAACCCTAACTCAAGCGGCTTGGAAAGGGAAAGGAGCACTGCTATAAACACCATCTACCAACCATAAATATAGCAGCCTTCTCCTTAGTTTTTCCAGCCTGAAACAATTCTAGAAATCACAACATTTCTCAACAACCCAACGCCTCAAGCCATAACAGTAACCATTTAATCTGGAAACCCAACTCCATTTTTAGCCAAATCAAAGTTCTCACTGTGAAGCCTCCATAAACATCACTGCGTCCTCAAAAATCAGAGAGACCAGAGGCAAAAAACCACCCACGACTGCCAACCTCCCACGGTGCAGCTTCTCTTGAAGCCAAACGCAGCAGTGCAGCTTACGCCAGCAGCAGTCCAGCAACGAACACAGCACAACATAGCTCCATAGATCAATCAGTAGCTTTCTAGTAGCCGAGAATCACAGCACCAGTAGCAGCAGAGTCTTCAACACCAGGAGGATTTTTCGGTTTCCTTGTTCCAGCCGAGAACTCCAGAACTAACACCCATCAAACAGCAGCGCCCAGCAGTTCCTCATCTCCCCTGCACCAACGTTGTGGACGGGAGCTACATCAGCAAGTTTCAGCAACTTTACCTCTCTATTTTTTCATTGAAATAGTCATGAGCATCAGTCTATTGCCAGGCCCGAGTTCATTCTGATCTTTCTTTTTTGTTTCTTCCTTTTACGATCTCTTTGAACGTGATAGATACATGGCCATGAGACTTCTTAGTTGAGGGACAAACCAGTAGTTGGTTTTCTTCCCACAACTCCGGTTTTGACATGGTAATGCGTCTTTTACTGTCTTTAAAAAACAAGATTCTGGGTTTATGCAAAGTTTTGAGGAACATGGGATGTTTTGGTTCTGATCTTCTAAACTCCAAAAAAAAAAAAGAAGGCATTTGTTTTCTTTTTCAAGGATCGGGCCTTCTTAGCTTTTAAATAGAAATTTGATAATGCTTTTCTGTTTCTTTAAGTCCATTTGTTTTTACACCCAATTCGTGTGGGCTGGTAATAATGCTTGGATCTTTAATTGGGTTTGGATTTGAAATATCATTGAGGGCCTCATGAATGCTTTATAAGAGTTTGGATCTTAACATGAGTTTTGGACCATATCAGAAGGCGCAGTCCTTGTGGCTGGGCCAATCTTTTAAGGTTTAATGCCAGGCAAAATTAAAATATGTGAAAAGTTGTTTTTTATTTTATTTTTATTTTATTAAGGCTTGTTTTACAAACTCGTTCTAAGAAAGTATTTATGTTGTTTTAGTGTTTTTTTTAATATGATCTTATTCTAATTTTAATAAATTTTCAAGTTGTGAAAAATTATTTTACAATTAATTTTGAGTTTCTTGGATTTTTTTATCATTTCATATTTAATATTTAAAATTGTAACCTATACATGAAGTACTTTTTCAATATTAAATAAATTAATTTTTTTTTTAAAAAAATCTTTCATTCAAAAATATAATTTTATTTGAAATGTATATGCCCAAGTTTCTAAATAATAAATCATATTTGTATAATTTAGCATACTAAAAAATCACAAAAATAATTTTTATTTATTTTGCATGCATATTAAATTTAATATTTGGTTTATTAAAGCCTTGAAAACTTGATCTATTTTTCAAAAAAACTAAAAATTTATTTTGTATCCTTCAATACTTTGTATAGAAATTATCATAACAAATATAAGAAAAATTAGCGAAAACTGAAAAATCAAATTTAAAATACATACTTATGTCAAAATTGAGGAATAAATAAAATTTCACGCTCTACCCCATGTAATTCATGCTAAAATTGAATATAATAATATAAAAATTGCTTGCAAAAAATTTATAATCCAAGCATATTCAAATTTATCGTATGATAGAATTATCAAATTATATACTTTATTCATAATTTTATGGGTATATATTATGAAGATAATTTGATATTCTATCCTAAACCTTACACTAAAACTATCAAATTATATACTTAATTTATAATTTATAATTTATGTGGTTATGTTATAAAAATAATTTGGTATTCTATAGTAATCAATTATATAAATATAATGAAAAACTCTCGTGGGAGTATAATTAATGTTTATATTTCTCTATATGATCCTAGCATAACAAATATATAATTTCATTTAATTAAATATGCTGTGACTAATCCCTAATTAAGTTAAGATATAACTTTATTTAACATAAAGTAACATATTATTTTTTTTATTCATAGAAAAAAGCACCAAAGAAAATAAATAAATAAAGCCACGAAAATAAAACCCCATGTAAAAAATTAAAGTGACAACTACACGAAGTAAATTTACATTGCTTGAAGAAAAATCAAATGGATAGCTCAAACTATGAATGATTATGAATAAGTTTTTTTAATGATTTATAATTATAGGAAGTATCAAAACTACTCATAAAATAAAAATTCATATTTATTTTTTGCACAAATAATTTTCAATTTATTTTTACGCTACTTGGCATGTTCATGGTAGTTATTTCCTTTACTACAAGGCATTATTTTCATGGTAATTATTAAAACTCATTCCACCAAGGTTGTTTCTAAAATTCTTAGGGAAGATAAAATATAGCAGAATAATAAATAATTAACCTCTAAAAAATTTCATGACAAATATTAAATTTATTTAAGTATAAAAATTTCTAGATAGATATATTAACATAGATATCAAGGTAAAGAAATTATCAACTGTTAGATTTGATAAATCTAGACATGTTTATAAAATAATTTACAAATGTCTTATGCAAATAAATAAATAAATCTAAATACTTCTCTTACAATTAATGAAAAGTACCTATAAGATTTTTGTACTTCTAAGTTCTAGCACACTCAAATTTAATAGTATATTTATGTACGTAAGAGTCTATACATTAGTGTGTGAGCCATCAAAATCATGTACTTATATAACAAAAGTCTCATTAAATTATTAATTGATACGTAACTTTATTGCTATTTAATATAAAAGTTAATTTATTAGACTAAATTAAAGTAATTGAAGAAACTGAATCCCACATTAACATATATTAGTAAAACATAACTTTATCAGTAGTAACTATATATAATAAAAAGCTCATATATTCTGGTTGATTTAAATAAAAATTAGAGTTTAATTGTCATTGATATGTTAGTCTTCCTGGTGCTAGTTTTTTGAAGTAAATAATCTCAAACAGTAAATGAGTTTCACTTCTCGTTTATTTTTTTGTTCAAAAATAATATAATGCAATGATTTTAAAATTATAACATATATATATATATATATGTTATATATATATAATGCATGAATAATCTCAAAGATGAATGTTATATTTAAAATCTAATTGGAATCTTAAAAAAATGACAATAAAACTTTGTTTTCAGTGAACTCTTCAGGGTTTCACAAAAAAAGTGAAAACTTTTGTTATATGTATTTTACACTTAAATCTGCATTCATCGATACTATTTAGATTTAGCAAAGTTATTTGACATGAAATCAAGTGTTTTGGTATAGTTTTAGAGAGAGAGAAAGATGTTAAAGAATCATCTTAACTGAAAGGCTTAAGCTATTAAGTGAGGTCCTAAAATATAATTTATATTATTATATAACACACATTCTCAAGTGAAAGCCCTTTGAGTTTGAAACTTGCACAAATCTACACCATCTTGTACTTAATTTTTATCACACAAATGAGAATGTTGAGATTATAACTCGTAACCACTTGGTCATTAAATTTCTAATACCATAAAAGAATTGAACTCTAGTTTTCCTTACCAGAGACATATGTAATGTTATTCTTATATATATGAGGTTGTTACAAGAGATAAAAGAGATATATATGTGTTTATTATAAGAGATAAGATTTACAATATATTTAAAACTTAAAAACATTAGGATTATGCCAAGTTGTTGTACTCTGCATGCAAAGTGTAATAGTAGCATCTTCAACATCAAGCATGATGACTCTTCTGCATTTTATTCAAAATGGTGATTATGTTGATCCTTATCCTTATCATTCCCCTGCAAATTAGCAGGGAGATCCAACATTAAGAGTTTGTCCCTAATAAAATAGAATAGATTAGCCATATGCCCTTTAGTAAATATATCTGCAGGTTACAAGGAAGAGGGAAAGTGTTGTAAGATGCTGTCTTGGTTTGTCATCCTTTTCTCAAACAAAGTGGTAATTTACTTTAATATGTTTAGACCGTGCATGGAAAATGGAATTGGAAGCAAGAGGTAAAGCACTAACATTATCACACCAGACAATAGGAGCAGAGTCTAGTGAAACTTTTAGCTCACACAAAAGCATACGTAGCCAATATACCTTAGTCGTGACCAAAGTTAAGCACCGATATTTTGTCTCTATACTGGATATGAAAACTATAGGTTATTTCTTAGTTAACCAAAAGATAAGATTAGGACCCATATACACACCATAATCACATGTTGATTGTCTATTGTTAAGGTCGTCAACCCAATCAAAGTCACAATAAACATTAACAGGAAAAAAACCAAGTTTATAAAAGAGGTTATAATCAAGTGTATGTTTCAAATATCAGAGCACTCGTTTAGCTATTTTCCAATGAGTAGAAGTGGGAGTTTGCATGTGTTGACAGAGCTAGTTCATTGAGAATGCAATGTCGAGGCATGTGAGAGTGACATGCTGCAAGGCAACTATCATTTGCTTATATTCAAATGGATCTAAAAGAAGATCTCTATCAAATTTAGACAATTTAGAACCCAAAACACAAGGAACGCAAATGGGTGGATGCTAAAGAGTTTGACAAGATTTAATAAATTAATAATATATCTTGTTTGGTGAAGATGCAGACTAGAAGAATTATGTGTGGCTTCAATACCCAGAAAATATGTCAACTGCCTAAGATCCTTCATAACAAACTTAAGTTGCAAGTTAGAAATAAGAGATGTAATGAAGCGTTGATCATTGAAGGTGACAAGGATATCATCCACGTATACTAATAAAAATACATGAAATGAGTCTTAGTGATATATGAATAGAGATGCATCGACTTGTGAACTAAGAAAATCAAGAGATAAGAGAGCAATAGATAAGCGATTAAACCAAGCCTGTGGGGCTTGCTTTAAGCCATAAAGAGACTTATGAAGCTTATATACAAACTTGGGGCGCACAAGATCCTCAAAACCTCTCGGATGATTCATATAAACCTCTTCTTCTAAAATGCCATGAAGAAAGGCATTGAAAACATCTAGCCATCGAATATCCTAGCTGAAAGGAATTGTAATCACAAGAACCATATCAATAGTAGATGGTTTGATAATCGGGTTGAACGTGTCATAAAAATCAATACCACTTCTCTAGAGATAACCAACAACCACTAATCTTGCCTTATGACAATCAATGCTGCTATTGGATCTATGTTTGAACTTAAATACCCATTTACAAGCAACCATATTTTTACCAAGAGGGCACAGGCATAACGACCATGTTTCATTCTTCAGCAACACCTGAAATTCACCTGTCATTGCTGCATTCCACTCAAGTATATAAGTTATTTGAATATAAGTACGACGCTCATATATTACCACACCTGCATGCAAAACTTGAAAAGGGTGATGAGTAAAGTAGTGAAGTTGAAAGTTGGGAAAGCTACGGGGTTTAGAATGTCCAGTCTACTTTAATATAAACCATAGCTATGTAGGGAAACCATTTTTACATAATGAAATTCCAAACTACTTAATTAAATTTTTTCATAGACAAACACTCTTTTATATATCCTTTTATGATTTTTTTTCTTAGAATTTTTTATTTGAGTGAGTTGTCTATTATTTTTATATTTTTAATTTATTTAGCTCAACATTATTAAAAAATTATTTTTTATTATAACTTGCTGCTTTTATAATTTTTTTGTTTAAAACAAATAAATGTTGAAGTTAAAAGGATTTCAAAAGAAAGGAAACTTATTAATAAGATAAGTGCTTTGGTTTGATATATATATATATATATACAAGTTGAATTTTTTAAATCTTATTGATACTTGTTCTAATTACTTTTGGTTTATATATATAAAAACGCACATAGCACATAAATGCTATATTTTTTTATGAGAAAAGTAGATTAATAAGAAAAGAAGGAATCACAACAACAAATCATTTTATTTCGATCTCATTTAAATTTTTATATTTTTTAAAATAAATATTGACATATTATTAAATATAAAAAATTGAAATAGCTCCTGCAACACATAATTAAATATTTTAATCTATTAGCTTTTGAATTTAATCTCTTGTTAGAGTAAATAACTCTTTTTAATTATTTATTGAATTAAAAACAAGCATAACCTTCTCATTTATTTATTTTGTTAATCCTAAAAGATCATTAATAATATCCATATATTTTTTGTAAGTTTAAAATTAATTTTCAATCCAGCCCACAACACAATGAGAGAACTTTCCAGTAATTACGATATACAATGAAACTTGTGTTTGAAATTTTGTCTCCATCAATTGTCATGTTCTAGTTTAATTAAATATATATATTTTTTAAATATTCTTTTAATTTATTTTTAAATAAAATACTTTAAAAAACTAAAACTATCAAAATCTTTATTCTAGTAACACCACCACTATTCGACAAAATCCTAACGACCAATGTAATCCAAGCACTACACATCCTCCAACCATTAACTTAAAATAACACAACCATTTGAACATTGAGTGGCCTTGTCTCGTCTCAGAAGGCGAAAGACTCATGGACAGGAATCCTTAATCAATATTTCCAAACACAGCAACATCACCTAACTGTTAGCCCCTCTTCTTTTTCCCCCTCATAAAGAGCTCCAAAAGAGCTTCTTTCTCATTCATTCTCCACCCATTTACTAAATCAAAAAAATTGCTATTATTTTGTCAACACCCCATAAATCAAAACAAGAAAAGATTCTATCTTTTTAATCTTAGGATACCTAAAGAACGTTGGATTTTAGTTATAGTTAATAGCTATTTATTAACATGAGTTTAGGATTCAAGAATTTTCTATTTTTTAGCCAGTTCAATACTGTCTAGTTAGGGAGTTCCAAATCCAAAAGCCAAAACCATAGGATTTTGTCTATAGAACCTGTCTAAACCTCAGTTCTTGATGGTTACATTGTACCCGAAAACATAAAAGGAAAAATTGACAATATTGGTAAAGTAAAGTCAAATAAGGACTTTGTTTTGAGGTCAAAGTCAGTGTTGACTATGGATAAAGAGGTGGATATTGATGGAAATGGAGGTTTGGACAGAGAGAGGAGTAAGTACAATGCAATTGTTATTGGGTCTGGTATCGGTGGGTTGGTTGCTGCTACACAGTTGGCAATGAAAGGAGCTAAAGTTTTGGTCTTGGAGAAGTATGTAATTCCTGGTGGGAGTTCTGGGTATTATAAGAGGGATGGATATACTTTTGATGTTGGCTCTTCTGTTATGTTTGGTTTCAGTGATAAGGTCAGTTGATATTGTTTAGTTCTTCTCTTTTGTTATTTGTTTTGTGTGTAGTGCTTTTTTTTGTTAATAAATCGATTTTTTTGGCAAAAAAATTGATGTTACTAATCGAGTTTAAATAAGATTGTAATGCAGTTTGGTCTGTTGTTGAAAATTCTAATTGTGTTTGGTAGCATTTTGATGGTTTTTGGGAAAAATGAGAAATTAAGTAACCCATGCAAGAATTTCATTCAATCACTAATCAGCAAATTTTCATGGACAGTAGATGATGAAAAAAATTATCAGATACAATTTTCTCTTTGATGCATTGTTAGATACAAATTTTTAGGAATAGGTTTAAGTAGATTTACCAAGTTTGAAGGTTTTTGCTTAAGTTTATCATACTATATGTTAGGAATTTGAACTCAATGCGTTTAGAACTCCTAATCTTAAAGTCTTTTATTGTTTATTTTATGAGTTATGTCTTTCTTACTTTTATTTACGATGTGCTTTGGTCAATCATAAAAGTCTTACGGACTATGTGCCTCAAATTTATGCAAGGCAACCTAAATTTGATAACATAGGCACTAGCAACAGTTGGCTGTGAGATGGAGGTGATTCCTAACCCAACTACTGTCCATTTTTATCTACCTAATGACCTTTCTATTCAAGTTCACAGAGAGTACATCAACTTCATCTCTGAACTTGCTGTAAAATTTCTCCATAAAAAGGAAGGGATCCTTAAATTCTACGGTGAATGCTGGAAGGTACATAGATTGAGGTGAATGCTTTACCTATCATCATTTTGCATCTAATATTTGATCGTTACTTACACCAACATATATTTTATCGGGTAGATATTCAATGCCCTGAACTCTCTGGAACTGAAGTCACTTAAGGAGCCAATCTACCTATTTGGGCAATTTTTTCAGAAACTTCTTGAATGTTTGACACTAGGTATTTTTTTTCTTTCCTTCACTCTCAAATTTATAATTGATTTGAATATGAGTTTGTTACATTCTCAATAGGTTTGCATTAATAGATGTTGTTTACTTGCTCCAATCAGGATATCTTTTGTGCATCATTTGATTAAAGAAAACTGTTGCAGATTTTTGCAATCAGATGTTATGGAATTGTAAAATTATTTTTGAAAGTGAAGACGAAATTAACAAAACTTCTTTTAATGTTCAAAGCTTTGCTCCAATAGCTTAAAATAAAGTACTGTCTCCTCCACCAAGATTTTGGAGAACTCTTAATTAATTGACAACTGTAAAGCTACTTCCATTACTTTTAGATTGACTGGTTAAAAGATAAGGTGCTGGCCCCAAAAGATTTTGAAGAATTCTTTGAAATCATATCGAGAAAATGTTTTGATTCACTTAAACCTGTTAGAAATGTTTATCGTGATCTTCTGGTTAGTTCTGAGGATGGGGCTTAGGACTGTCAATATTGAAAGTCACAGCACTTTTGGTCCTTGTGTCCTCTTTGCCATATCGTACATTAAGTCTATTTTGTCATACATGTTCTTCCTATTTGTAGAGAACTAGAGCAATGAGACAAATTTTTATTTTCTAAACCTTTTTTTTCCTGTTCCTTTTTACTATCATGACTTTTTTTTTTATGCATTTAAACAAAAACTAATTGGTTCCTTCTTTTGAACTTCTCTTACATGACCCTTTTGTTCTGTATAGCTTATTATCTACCCCAAAATGCTAGAGACATTGCTCAAAAATACATGAAGGATCCTTAGTTATTGTCTTTCATTGATGCAGAGGTGCAATACTGAAACTTCAAATCCTTGATAAAATTCCTTTGATTTTTATCAGTTTTAGGTATCCACATAGAGTCTTACAATATCAAAAGATGTTCCATCTGTTGTTTTTCTGTAGTGTTTTATAGCGAGCACAGTCAATACATTGTAGACCCCAATGATCAATGCGGCCATGGTGAGCACTTTAAATAACTTTTGACCCTTTTTATGCGTGTTTTTATCCTCTTTTTTTTTTTTCTATTGGCAACAGGTTTTATGTGATAGGCATTTTGGAGGGATCGATTACCTTGTTGGTGGGGTTGGTGGAATTGCGAAGTCCTTATCAAAAGGTCTGATTGATCAGGGCAATGAAATACTTTACAGGGTAAATGTGATCAACATCATTCTTGAGAATGGAAAGGTTGTGAGTTTGACCTTGTAGATAAATGATGCTAGAATTGGAATCCTTGATTTTATACATGAAAAAAAAAATGTTTTTGTTATTTATGTTAGTTTCAGATGAATTTGGTAGGTACGAGTAAGGCTTTTAGATGGAAGGGAGTTCTTTAGAAAAACCATAATCTCAAATGCTACTAGATGGGATACCTTTGGTTAGTTTTGGAAGATTCTGTCATTTTAATTCATTTGATCATACCCTAACCTTTTTGCTACACTAGGCTTTTAGTTATTACAAAGCAAAATGTGTTACAGGGAAGTTGTTGAAAGGAGAAACCTTTTCAAAAGAAGAAGAAAATTTCTAAAAAGTTTATGTTAAGGCTCCATCTTTTCTTTCCATTCACATAGGTGTTAAAGTTGAGGTTCTACCACCAGATACAGATTGCCACCACTTTATGCTAGAGGTATTCATTTGCTCACAAACCGAGACCATTTGTTAGGAATTGTGAACTTGATACGTTTAACTTTAATTCTTTCATTTATGTCGTAGGATGACTAGGTAAGATTAGAGGAGCCTTATGAAAGCATAGTTCTAAGCATTCCAACTATCCTTTATTCGTCATTGGCTCTTAAAGGCCATCATATACTTCACATATTTATAACATCTTCCATTGAAAACTAGAAGGTTCAATACCATAACTTTTAAGTGAATAGTATTTACTTAAATGCCTTACCCCCCCACCCTGTTAGCTAAATTCCTAACTATTGGGTTAAACTGTTTAAGGACTCTCGACAAAAGACTATGAGGCCAAGAAAAAGGTTGTTACTGGTGAGATTATAAACAGATTGTAGAAGAAACTTTTTCCAGAGATCAGATCATCAATTGTATTCATAGAGGTATATATCACATTATTATGCAAGTACATATACATTGAAGAATGTAAAGAGGAGAAATTATGGTAGGTGATGGCCAATGAGAAGGAGATGATCATACCTTATGGACGCAAGCCCTGAATGATACAAATAAATTCATTAACCAACATCAAGTGATTGATTCTTTGAGAGGCTTTAAATCCACGAATTTCTTTACATTTAAATGAGACACCCGCCTAATCCATTTTTTTCTTTAATAACTGCATGCTTTATTTGGTGGGAGCTCATTCAAATTTCTCATGTTCCAAGTGTCAGTGAATGGAATACCATACTTATCTTTGACTCTTTAGTCTTTCAAATCTGATTTGGCCTTTAAAAATACATGCAATCATGACAGGTGGGTTCACCCAAGACACACAGGCGGTTCCTGGCTCGTGATAAGGGTACTTATGGACTAATGCCACGCAGAACTCCTAAAGGTTTATTGGGAATACCGCTCAATACGACAATAAGTACCATCATGACTTGTCATGAATGTCACAGTAATTGTTGGTTTTGAGATCATTTAAATAAGAAATACTTTTTAGGCTTTTAGTCTTTTCCCTTCACCAATGGCACTTCATTTTCTTACTTGACTTCTCTAGTCCTCTCCCTCCAAAAGTGAAGTGTCATTAACACTGGATGGAGCGTTAATAGCCCTTTCCTCTCATGTCTGTCAATTAGGTTAGGTCATGACATAATGACACTTGCAAGCTATAGATGGTATTTACTGTGTTGGCGATAGCTTCTTTCCAGGATAAGGCATGATAGCTATAGCTTTTTCAGGAGTACTGTGTGCTCATCGAGTAGCTGCTAATATTGGTAAGCTAGAAACCTTTTTCTCATTCTAAATCAATTTTGATATTGACTTAAGTAGTTCAGCTAATCATTTGCAAGAGCATGGTTAGGTCATAGTGCCTTTAGGTGCTAGGATAAAAAGTAATTTGCATGTCAATTTTATTAGCCTTTTACATTCTTTTAAATTACTAGATTTTTTAAATCCCCCCCTAAAAAAAAAATTCTTATCACGAGCATTGAAAAAAAGTCTCCTCTACTGGATGTTGCTCTCCTTCGACTTCTTGGCTGGTTAAGGACCTAGCATGAAAACAGGGAAAAGAATAACGTTACCCACATCATGACATTTTTACCTGTAAAAACACGGGTCAATAATCAATTACTGAGAGGAAATAACCTATAAAAGGTTAGTGTGTTCGTTTTTGAGATAGCTTTTGTGATTGTGATTTAAAAAAAGTATGGTTAGGTATATTTAGTTGGATTTAGATTGGTAAAAATTATTGTTGAGATTTATATGCATCAAAAAACATGTATAAAATGTTTGGTTGTGGGTGCTTTTCAAAAGTGTTTTTTACTTGGAAATGCATCAAAATAATTTTTTTATTTTTTAAAAATTAATTTTGATATTAGCGCATCAAAATAATTTGAATATATATATATATATATATAATTTGAATTAAAGAAAAAGATAAAAAAATTAAATTTTAAAAAAGTACTTTTAAAACAAAAAAATAAATAATTTTTTACAAAACTCGATTAAAAAACATATAAAAACTGATTCACGTAAACTACATTCCAAACTTAAATTTTTGTTAGGTTTTATACTAACACAATTTGATGTATTACGCAAAAGCTGAGACTGAACAAGCACTTAAAATTGCCAACAGGCTTGTCACAAAGTTTGTTGCTCCAATCTCCGCAGATAATTCTCATTCCTTAGGCTGGATCAATCTTACAGAGCTGTTGAGGGATGAATATGTAAGACTTTTGCTCTTCGTTTTTCCCTTTCAATTTGGTGTCTGATTAGAAATTACTGGTGGCTTGTATTTGAGCGGTTACTGTTGGCGATTTTCTTTTGAGGAATACAGTAACAAAGTTCCATCAAATCATTTGCCTTACCATGTTTTTCGTTCACAGATTTTTAGAATTTACTAATCTCAATACATATGCTCGAGTCATAGTTATAGGTATGTCTAACAACCATTACATTATTGCATTTATTAATATAAAAGATAAGATTGTGAATTTGAAGTTCTTATGACGTGGTAACATTTCTAGGAATTCTCCACATGTAAAAATCGTCTCACATGCCTAAGATAATGCATAAATGTTGTCGTTGAGGCCTTTGCTACCCAAAAATCTTCTTGGAGCTGAAAATTTGATATCTCTGGATTGGTAGCCATCGCTTGTATCCCTTTTTCTGATCCGTGGAATGCAAGTTTTCATGGAATCGATCTTTGAAGTCAAACGTGGAAGCTAATTGTCCATAATTGCTCTGAATACTGTAGCTTACTACGCACCAAGCTTCATTCTCCGCAAGGAAATATAAGCCAAGAGACGGTAGCCGAAAACCATTGCCACCAGGGCGCTGACTTCCGTCAAACCACTGTCTATTCCATTACTATTTATAGCCGGTGTCACATTTTCATATTGAACCTTGAGAAGCAGCTTATAGGTGTGGTAGTTGAAAGACATATAGCGGATCCAAGATACAAATACTGGAACTTTCTGCAAAAGTGAAGACCATGTGTGATCATTTGTGCCAAGGTAAGAACATATTGAATCAAACTAATTCTAGGAGAGAGAGTTATTATTTAGTGAAG